GAGCGCCCGACTCCGCTTTTTCCGACCGCACGGAAGAGGGGCTATGGGATAGTCTTCATCGCCCTTTCAAGCGATATGCTTTGCTTTCGGGGACTTCGGTGTCTTCACTCACGCAATAATGAAGCAGCATATCCCGGAAAAAACAATCTCAATGCAAGAGAAATGAGAAGCACTAAAGCCGCACGGATTTCGCTAAGATTCTTCAAGGGAATATCATTCTAACTGTTTCTTGTTGGCAACAAAATTGTTGCAGTCCCCTACAGGACTGCCACGACGTATTTATTCAGTCTTGATACTCGCTATGATGAATTCCTTTTCTTGTTATTATGCGTCGATTTTAACATCCCCAGCACTCATAACGCAAAGTAAAACTAGCTGAAGGATGGAGTAAATACGGTAAATGCGTTTTTGTGAAAAGAAAATTGAGAAAAGAAATGGACACCTCTTGAATTCATCTTGGGCCAAAAGTTAGAACATATTTTTATGTAGTTGACACCCATGTGGGTTCACGGGCATGAGCTTATACTCTGAAGTGGTTTAATTCACAGAAAGGTTGAAAAGCCATGCTTTGCAGCTTCTGAGGAAGGAACTGTTATCCATGGCAAATGACTACCGGATTCACGCAATTATAGACCACATCCAGATGTTCGACCATAGACCACATCCGAGCTGCTTAATGGTAAATATACACCAGATATTGATCATATTTGAACATGGGCCGCACTGAATTCTCATACTTCCGGCCTATGTCCGAAGTATGTTATGTCTACACAATGTACTGATATTATTTCTAGGATATTGCGTAATAAACTTTATTTTCCTCTAATATGTATTCACTTTTTAGTCAACTGATGTAGCGTTCCTTCCAAGCCATCGGTTTGAGATGTGACCTAAAATAATTTTCAGATAAATTTTGCCTCATTCTCAGGCTGATATCGGATTACCGACATTTCGAACTGATAAATTTAAGTTTCCGTAGGCCGGCATTTTCGCGGAAACCTCGTTCCGCGGACGATAGACGTAATTTTCAAATTTACTCTCTGGAAATGCGAACCCGGCTAATCCGGTCGTCATGCACAAGCCCAGTCTGACAAACTCCGCGGCTCCGAATCCCGGGAAAAAAGAAGGGGGCGATTGATGACCGCATCCGACTCCGTGCAAAAGAACGTTTTCCTCTCTTGACTTCTTTCTCCCTGGGTTTCAGAACGCCCAGTGGCTCAATCCCTCGTTACCCGCGGGAGTTGCGGCTCCTGCCTTTTTCAAGAATTAATGCCCGTTTAAAGCGGCCCCCGAGAACTGTTCGGATTTGGGCAGGTGCGGAAACTGGAAAACAGGGTTTGGTTCATAAGTTCGCAAATCTGTTACGTGGGGATCTTCTATGAAATCCAGACATGATAGCTTCGAAGAGCAAATTTGAATCCTCACGCATGCTAGAGCATTTCATAGTTATTAAGATCGTGATGCGTCGAACTTCTTTTCATTCCGCTTATTGTTGGATTGTAGATTGATTCGTTTTTGTTTTGTTTAGAAAATTAAAAAATCCTGTTACAAGCTAACAAGTCGAATCAAATTACCATAGAAGGAGCATACAGTATTTTAGTTCGGGGCGCGGTTGAATCATTGATTCATTCTCGGTTTTTTTTTTTCTGTTGGGAACGGGTGTTTGTTATGAAGGGCATCCATTTTGAAGCATTGCTGGATCTGTCATTCGATGTCGGTGGTACCTTCATTACCGAGACTAACGACTAGATGCCTGCTTTCGGATTCGAGGATAATGGAATAAGATAAAAATCCCAATCCACAAAAACTCGACGCAATCCTGCCGAAACTCATTTAGGTTCTGAAGAAAAACACACTTTTCCGATGCTTTCACGGAAACAAAACTTCAAGATTGTAGAAAATTTCAAACCGAAAAATGTTTTGGGATCCTGAGAAGTTCATCTGGCGGCGGCAACTGTGAAGATTTTTTCGAGTCCCAATTTCATGCACAGCTAAGGCAGAATTTAAAAGTATGTTTTTCAGCTTCAGCATAGAAGAGCTCGTGGTGATGATATCCGATGCATATAAAATATAATACTGCATATTCTCAAATGTACGATTTTTAATATAAGTAATGCGAAGAAAAATTAAAAATACTTGACAAGATACAGTCATTTATTCGACGGCGTCACGATTCGAGGTGTGTGCATTGAAAGCTTGACCTCTTCATGTTAGCTTAACCATTGGTTTAAACCGTCATTATCGGAATGAAAATGAACTGCATTGTTGGCTGCTTTAAAGCATGCATGCATGCATTGCATTTAACAATTTATACTATTTAGAAAAATGTTCCTTCGTCGATGTGTGAAGCACCTGGGGCTGAATCGGGACAGTAATAAGATCCAGGAGGCTGAGTTACTTGTTCGGCTGCATTTACGCGGATGCTCCTTCGTAGACTGCATCATTTCCTCAAAATGTCTAAAAAAAATTGGCAGACGCTCTAAGGCGGCCTATGTTAAAGATATTTCAACGGAATGTAGGCTTCCGCGCATTTTTCTGTTCGAAATCGTCGAAGTCTGCTTACCGGCTAAGCGCATATTCGTATTAATACGGCAACTAACGTAGTCTTTTTACGCGAATACAGTAAAAGCAGTAAAAGCCGCGTCCTGTATCTTTACAGGCCACATAAATTTTGGAACTCGTCTGAAAGGGGCATTTTTATACGAATTTGCAGATCTGATTTCATGGAATTACAGTCCGCTCTCTAGTTTTCGTTTCTGGTCACGGGTTACATTCGAGTAAATGCGGTATTTTGCGAGAACTTTCGAACGGACCCCAAAGCACTCATTCCTCAGTAGGCCCCTGACCCCAAGTATTGAGTTAACACGGATTTGCACCGCGGAAGCACTGCCAGGTAGACAATGCGCAGGAGAGGTCAATCCTCGCTCTCTTGCGCCCTTTGCTCACTCTCGCGCCGACAAAGATGACCGACCGCCGAGGAAACACAATGACTACGGGAAAAATTTTCCCGATGATGTAATCATCCTTCCCCCCCCCCCCTCTAGTCCTCCAGAGGCAGGCTTTTCGTCCTGGTCCGGTTGACACGGCTTTTAGTGGGACATTTTCTGTCCCTGGCCCAATTGTACGCGCGCATTTCGCTGCTCAATTCCGAAGCTTCTTCCTGGGCTCTCCAAGCAGACACGGTTGCCTGATTACGTACTGAGTTGTGAGCGCAGAACTGTTTTCGTGTGTGTTTCAGAGCCCAGGTTGGAGTATCACTGAAAACTCTGCCGGCGGACATCCGACAAGTACCAATGCGAACGGCAGCTTGACCACAGCCATTCGCCCTCGCACGAATTCCTCGTCCTCCCATATCAACATGCAGCAGGTATAAATCTAAATAAATAAAAAATATGCTTCTTTTGCCTCATGCATGTTGAAATTTCCCGTTCTGAAGAACCGACCGCACTGAGGATAATTGTTGACAGGATTTTTGAAAATTTTGGGGCATTAATTACTCGTGCAATACTATTAATTTAAATCTAACGATCTTCTTTGCTCACATTGGGAGTTTTTACGAAGCTTCGTATTTGCAAAAAATCGCCCAAACAAATATATTGCGTCTTCACCAAATTCTGCGACTCGAAGCTGTAATTTTAAGGAGCCGTCTCTGTATTTCGCATGCATCAACATATTTTTCATTGTTTTCGAACCGAATAAAACCAGCCCTTCACTCCTAAAACACCGGTGCGCCATATACAGTACTTGTTATTCAAATACAGTACAGTATTTGTGCATAGGCCACGCTGATTAAAATATGGGGCCTGTATTTTAGTTCATGTCCCACATTTTCGCTGAAATGCATTTGAAACTAGGATAAGAAAAAGAGCGATTTTAATCCGACAAACAAAGTTAGGTACTGTTTAGTGTGCAACCTACTGACCAATATCCTCTCCAGATCCATTTTATAATTTATATTGCGGGTTGCTGAATGGAATGAGCAGACCAAACGCAAGTCTTGTTCTAATACTTTGCATATAGTATCTCCTAAGTATCACAATTTTGTTGCGGCTACAGAACAGTCTTCTTCGAAATGTCTGCTTAAAATACGGTTCGGCCAAAATTCGAGTTTTACCTTCAGTCGAATCGCGCTGCGTTAAAATGTGCGAGAAAGTCATTGACTTCGTTTTACTGCTAATTATGACGTCTTTAAGGATTATGCTTCTGTACATCCTCGATGTTTCCGGAGTTTGGTTGAATGCGGATTTTTCGAGTCGCGTCGGAATCGGGCAATTTATTATTCCGTCATCATGTCGGCTTTGTTTTAGCTGCTCTTGCTTACGGGCGCGCCATGAGAACAGACAGATTAATGAGACATGATCACGGGATGATTGCTTGCGCCATACGGTGTGCGAGTTCGTTCGGTTGAAGACGTCGTTGTGCAACCCGACCAGAAGGGAGAGAACAGGACAGTGACGTTGGGCGAAAGAAAAGCATGGCTGTCGCTATGGGTATCGGGTATAGGGAGGAATTAATTCCCCCAGCTGGGATCAGTTCTTGGTCGGGCGGCACACGAAGAGTTTATCCTCCTCGGTTAGGGGTTTTTACGAGCGTTTCCACTCAGGACTGTGCCAACCACGGTCTTGTTCGTCTGGTCCATTGTCATAGAGCCCAGCGAGGGACTCGACATCTCATCCCCGCTGCCATCATCATTTATTGGCTACAACGAAGCTCGGGAGCGCGGAGACCATGGAAACACGCACCGGGATGAGACGGCGCAGGAACGGGAGTAATTTCAGCCGGGGGAAAAGGGATTGTGTTTTGGAGCAGCACTTGTATCACCTCAGACTGATGAATGGTTCTTTTCGCGAGTACCGGGCTCGTCCTGCAAACAAATATTTGATCACCCGACGGGACTGACGTTGATGTGCCACGCTTTGAGGCTTTGTGCTCTCTCGCGAGCGTCATTAGTGGACACGGCGGTGATTAATTCTTTCGTGCTCCTGGTCTGGAATTCAGAAATGACTCCAGTCGTGGTGTGATACACGGAACACTGTTCCCTCAGTAATTCAACTCGATCGTGATGCGTTGCAACTTGGAATGTTATTTATTTTCTTATTCATTTTCACGAATATGAAGTCCTTAACCTTCAACCCCATCTCGCGGCCGTGGCACGTAGAAGTGAAAATGATTTTCGTTCGCATCCCATTGAAGCACCTCAGATCCTGTGACAAATCTCCGGGTTAGGAAGACATCAGCGTTCTGCACGCTATCTTCAACGTATTTTTTTGCGCTACTATACGAGAACTTAATAATTTTGCGGTAAATCTTACCATGTTCGAAAATAAAACTTCGAAATATACTTCGGGCGGGCGATTCCCATAAAACGGATTCAAACCATCACCCTGAAAGATCGATTCCCTGAATAAATGAAGCTGAGGGGAATTCATAGATAAACTCACGATAACAGTACAATATTTAGAAAATGAATGAAATTACAAAAGCCTGTAATGTTCTGTATCAAGAAAGAGAAGAAGGGTCAATAATGCGACAGTGAGATTTCATGAGGGATTATGATTTTCCACGTTTCAGCGCAAAATCAGGAAAAAGGCCAAGAAATTCTTCAAAAGCTTCTCGGACAATCATTAATTTATGCTACCCCTGTATGTACCTGTATATCGAGGCATACCATAATGTACATGTCGGTAATCTTTCAGGTAAAGCACCAAGGCCTTTATTACCGGAAATCATACTATTGTATATAAGAAGGATTAGCCTCTTGTCAGATATGCTTGATAATGCGTATAAAAAGGTGGATACAAGTGTCACTGAATTCTTCCGTCCAATGTTTTCATGAGGTTAACAAAATAAGACAAAAATTATTCTAGTGCGAAGGATAAACAAAATTGATCATTCCACTGAATTCAGTGGAACTGAACATCTACATTCTAAAGGTTATGGGCATTCTAGTTTCCAGTTTTCTTTTAAATGCCGTAATCATCGCATAAACCAGACATTTGAAAGCATGCCTCCGGCGAAGGCCACAAAAAAATTTGATGATGATAGTAAGTCAGCGATCTGCGGACTTCAGGACTCCTGAAACTTTTCGTCATACGTATGACGTTAAATCAACGCTGCACCGAAATTTGCTTGCCCACTCATTCGCTACAGATTCCTGTTTCCCCTCAATAATTTTGAATCGTTTTTTTATTTTGATTGCAGGACCACCCCGGGTTGAGAGGTACTCCGCTTGCTATGCTGGCTGCTCAGTGCAACAAGCTGAGCAGCAAAAGTCCCCCACCCTTGGCAGACGCAGCAGTCGGCAAGGGATTTCATCCGTGGAAGAAGACGTCAGGCGGGCAAGGCGGCGTCGGAGGAACCACTGCAGTTGGTCCGTCTTCCGGCGGAATCGGTGGCATCGGCGGCGGCGGCGGTGGTGGACAACAAAGACCCGGCAGCACCGGTGGCGGTGCTCATTCTCCGGCGTCTGTGGCAGTGTCTGCGCCCTGCTACCAGCGTCCCACAGTCACGTCCTCTGCGTCCGCAGTGGCCTCTGCACCCTACGGCTCGGATTTCTACTTCCACAGCGCCGGGCCGATGAGCAGTCCGAACACCGTGGACTCGCAACAGACTGCTGCCCTGCTCGGAAAGATGGATTCCTCCGCCCACCTGGGCTCCATGTATTCGCGGATGGCGTACGAGTCGTGGCCGTTCAACGCCGCAGCGGCCGCAGCGCATTCCGCCGCCGCCATCAAGCCCGAGGTCACGTCCAGTGGACTCAACACGTCGTCGTGGTGGGACGTGCACTCGGCCGCGGCGGCCGCAGCAGGAGCAGCCGGCACGTGGCTGGACATGTCCTCCTCGGCCGCCACGCTGCCCGGCATGTCCCAGGTGCCGTCATACGGGCCGCCGGGCGCTGGAGACTACACAGCGCACCTATTATCCTCCGGACAACACTTGCTGCAGGACACGTACAAGTCCATGCTGCCGACGCAGGGCATGGGTGCAGCTGGCATGGGATCCGTCGGCGTCGGGCCCGTGGGTGCCCCGTTCGGACTCGGACAACCCGCCTTGGCCCAGGTGCCGTCGTCTCGATCTCAGCGTCGCTACACCGGCCGCGCCACGTGCGACTGTCCGAACTGCCAGGAGGCCGAGCGGCTCGGACCCGCCGGCGCTCACCTGCGCAAGAAGAACATCCACTCCTGCCATATCCCGGGCTGCGGCAAGGTCTACGGCAAGACGTCGCACCTGAAAGCCCACCTCCGCTGGCACACGGGCGAGCGGCCGTTCGTGTGCAACTGGCTCTTTTGCGGCAAGCGGTTCACGCGTTCGGACGAGCTCCAGCGCCACCTGCGCACGCACACCGGTGAGAAACGATTCGCGTGTCCCGTCTGCAACAAGCGCTTCATGCGCTCCGACCACCTGTCCAAACACGTGAAAACGCATAACGAGGGCGGCGGGCAGAAGAAGTCCGGCTCCAGTAGTTGCAGCGACTCGGAGAACAGTCAGTCCGAGCCGCCGAGCGTGTCGTCCCCTTCCTCCGTCAGCACTCCGCCTTTGTCCCAGCAGCCGAATACTCCGAATGCCATGGCCCACTCCGCGACAGTGTCACTGCATGCTGCCGAGTCCATTGGACGATGAGTCCCTTGCTCAATGTAAAAACCTGCTCCCGTGCTAGGTCCCTGCCGCCTATATTCGCCTGCAGTACCTTAACAACCCCCCTCCCCCCTACCTTCCAGCCACTCGCATTCCTTAATTGTCGTTTGCCTCAACGATTGTCCCCAGACCCCCACACAAACTACACATGTCGTACTGACGCGAGTGTAGGCCGCACCCGGAGTTTAGGTGATGTTCAAAGAACTGACGATTGGCTGCAGAAAACTTTTTACATTTCTCGCTGTAAAAGTGATTAATTTTCCTTATAGGATTTAAACTGTCGTGCAACTATTAAAGAATCTCGACTATACAGGTCGCACATATTCGATGCAAAGTTTTCGCGAATATCTGGATTTTACTCACAAGAAAGCTCCTCAGACTTGGTTTATATTCGAATAATGTATCTTGACGATAAGTCGTGCCAGGACATACTGTACTTTTTTTTGCGGGGAAAAGTGCGGCCTATACTCCCGTAAATGCGGTGAACATGAGGCACACACATTCGCGGATCTCTCATTACGGCTTAGTTTCCGAAAAACTTGACGAGATTATGCAGTTTACTTTCAAATCATTTCTTGAAATAATTTTGAACGGAGCTCGACCGGAAGTTGACCGTAAATACGCGATTGAAGGCGGAATTCCCTCTACTCTCCACAAGAAAAAATCCACAAAAGAACTATAGTGCAGCCTCTATTCGAAATCAGCAAAAACAATCGGGGGAAATTCAGGTTCTGTACATCAGCATTAAAATCAAAATGTACTCAAACTCCCGAAGAAATTTCAACTGTCTCTTTATTGCTCCCACCCAGCCGAAGTTTTAAAAAATAGATCATTAAACTCCTCTTTTTAGTGTACTCGTTTGGTTTAGTGCACCAGCTGCATTTTATTTCAAAATATTCAGAACTTCCCTTTTTGCAGCTTATTCATACATATTTTCCGAAACGCTGTCCAAAATGTAGAAGTAGACCATACAGTACTTGCCCGCAGCCTACATTCGCGTGAATACGGTAACCGACATTGCTCAGGCTCCTGTTGCAGGTTTTTTTTTTTTTCCTGATGATTTGTTTTCTGAGGGTAGTCATGTTTCCTGTACTTCTCCGGGAAAGAAGTTATTTTTTTCTTTGTGATTGGCTAAGCTTTAACTTTGTTTTTTTCCCGGCGTGGACCCGAATCCATGGGTTTAAATCAAAGCGACAGAATTCATATGGGAGTTCGCAACACGGGTACGGCCAGACTTGCTAGACATTGTTTGTATTGTTTTTGATCATCGAGCACAATCATTGTACCACTTGACAAGAGTTCTCGCGATTCCGATGACCCCTCCCCCTCCCCTCGCCTCTACAACTGGCAACACATTGTCACTAATTGCTGCTGTGATGGAAGCGGGCATTTTTATACAAATTACGCGTCAACGTGTATGACACTAATCGGGTATTGACCAAAACGCCGCAAGCAGCCCGCGGAGATTAACGCATTAACCACAGCCAAGAGCTTACGCTTTCTTCGAAAAAAGCAATTCGGCTAACGTAACACTATGACGACTATTACCCTTGCACTAGACGGGATTTTTGTTTTGTTTGCGGGGCTGCGAGCGACGGAGGAAAATTGTGCCAAAAAGAGAGAGAAAGAAAGAGAAGGATAGAGAGGGAAAGACAGATTACTGAGTGAGTTGAGGCAAGCAGAAAGCGGATATTTTGCTAACGGTCGTCTCCCCGCACTCTTGGCAACTGGTCCAGAGGAGAGAGCTTGACTCTGACTCAACGAATGACCTCAGTTTTGATTCGTCCTTGCGACTGTCTGGAGCTTGGTTGTGGGGACATGGCGGAGGACACGGTGGTGCTGTGACAAGGCCTGTCAGGGCAAGCCCAGGACAAACGCTTTTGTACCTCAGTTTTTGTGTTGTGCTGGACATGGTAATAATGAGCATGTTTCTGTGGTCTTCATTGCTAGACACTCTCCTTCCATCTAACCAACATTAGTTGAGCTCTGCGCATTTCTCCATAAGCCCTGCCTGCCTTGCCAAAATGCTCCATGGGTGAACTTGAGTGGCAATCAGCCATAGTTGCATATTTTTTTGAGAGCGCCAAGTCAAACAAAAAATGGCATGTTCTCCAGTTTGTTTTTGCTTTTCCCACATCTGCAAAGTGTGTGTAGAGGTTTGCGATGCCAATGGGAGGCAACATGGCGTCGGTTTGCCGTGCCGTAGACCTAAACTAGATTAGTTGACGCTGGCTTCTTGAAGTTCTCTAGAAAATGTAGCGTTCAAAACCAGGCCAGGCAAACCCCGGAATCCCTTCTTTGGGCTGACCAGGTGGATCTGCATTGGGATTTTTCGTTGAGCCGACAGCGGAGGAAGGGCAGAAGCTAACGTCACTTGCAATTTGCCGCCGAGACTTTGATCCCCGAAAGCGTTAACTTCACCAACGGAAAATTGAGGCAAGTCAGAGGGGCTTTGGAGTTGAATCAAAGGCAGCGTTTGAGACCCTAACTTAAATCAAATGAGCTCATCATTCCAATGTCTAAGCACCAGCCAGAAACGTTTCCCAGCAGACCCAGTTCCGCATCTCCTTTGTGTTCATTGCTCCCCTTCTGGGTGTTTCTTGTTGATCGAGCAACGTGCTGAAGGCTGTGTGTTTCTTTGTTTATTCTGCAGCCAATGAACAAACCAATGCAGCCTCTGGTCAGCCCAGTTCCTCATCCTCGAGCACAAGTACCACGACCACAAGTACCTCTTCCAGTGAGAGCACAGCACGAAAAGCTAGTCGGATCGAAGACGAGGACAAGGCTGCCTTGAAAAAGAAAAAGAAATCAAGTTGAGACCACATCAGCAAATTGTTGTTGAGAATTTTAAACATACCGCGCAGTTGAGGCCCGGTTAATTCCCCTCTCCCTCCTCCCCCATCCATCCGATTCCATGTTGCTTCAGCGAAATGCATTGTCATGTTGGTTAGTTTTTACCAGTAAGGCGACAACAAGTATCCATGTTTCAATCCTCGGAATTTTCTGCATGCTGGCAAGTCTTCTCCTTAGTCCACTTTCCTACAACTTAGTCCCTTTGCCTCAGCTTATCCTATCTGATAGTTGGCTTGTTGTTGATCCAGCATCCATGAGAACAAAACGCTTTGTTTCCTCCGTTTATTTTGTGATGTACCAGTGACCGAATTAAAGCACGTTTCTATTGGATGTTTTTTGGAATGTGTTCGATGCTTGGGTCACAAATGAAAGGTCCTCATAATCATTTGAATCTGCTGTGTCTCAGAGCAAGTTTGCTTTGTGCGAGAATTATTCCCAGATCGTCCTCTCGGATATTAAATTCAACAATGTCGTTCTGAGTGACATAAGAGCAATGAAAATAAGCTTGCTTTCAAGCCCGCGAGCAATTTCTCATTGAATTGCCTGTTTTTTTTCCACAATGCTTTTGGAAATCAAGTCCATGACCTCACGCGTTTCTATGACCCGGCTCCTCCTCTCGTGTCCACTTTTTTTTTTTTTTGTGGGATGCTATATACCTTGTGATATAAGAATAAAAACTTCTTAAAAATCTTGGACGACTGGTTTGTGATCATTTCTGATTAAGCTGCTTGCATCACTGCATCAACATGGCAGAAGGGAAATCCTTCTGCACGACAGATCAGTTGACAGTGGGTACAGCATCGTCAGCTGCCATTGGAAAGTAGACGTGAACAAGGCATCAAAATTGGCTAAATGGACAACAAACTTCTGATTTTGCAAATCCTCAGCGAACGTGTTGATCAGCACGGTTGCATGAATTACAGTATCTGTTTACCCCTGATTTTCACGGAAAGGAACACACATCATAAGAACACATAATTCAAGACAAAATCAGTAATATTCGTGCATCGAATGGCTCAACATATTATATTTGAAAAAAATCATAAAAGGAGGAGCATCTAAAAATGAAGTCTTATAATTTTTTATTTGCTTAGATCGCATCAAGTACTATAATTTATGTTTACTTAATATTCAGTTTTTTAAACTTTATGATTGCTGTTTTATGGCATAACATGATTTACAACAATGATTTTGCGGACAAAAATCATTGCTGAAAGTACCTGAAAGTGAAAATATGTAGTTCTAAAAGTGATTCCAAACGGTATGCATGTTTCGTGTTCGGCGAGGAAAACATTTTCCATGCACCCTGACATTTTTAATGAGCAAAACTGTTTTTAAATTCTTCTTTCAAGCTTTCTTTCTCGCAGAATATGATGCAAATATAACTTGAAACAGCAAGGCGTAATACATTTTATTACTGACTCTACTGATAGCCTTGATTCCTTGAATGTGTCACACGATGAATACAATACTTGTCTTTGTGCTTCATGTTCTCATTCTGACTCGGCCTGATTTGTTTACCCTGCGTTCCGATTGTAAGAATTGCTCAATATCAAACATATTCCACGCAGAGCCGTTGGAATTTACACATTCTTTGTTAATGCTGAAAGCCTGCAACCCTTCTCCAATCCGTCTGCTCATCACTGAGAACTTGTGGTCTCACTCTCTTGTACATAATAGGATCAAACATGATTTTGTGGTCAAAAATCCCTGTTCAATATACTTCAATATTCAACTCATTGCCCTAGTCGTGCAGAACTATTTTCCAAATCATGCTTATCACGAACCATGATTTTGTCACACTGGGCATACCAAGTTTTTGGAGGCCAATTAAATAAATTAAATTAGATGGAGCAGCACTCCTCCGTTTGAGGAAAAAACAGACTCAAATTTACGGCAACGCACAGTGCGCTGCAACAAAGTAAAGTATTCTTCAGCCATTTGGCAGCTAAAAGCGAGAAAAGGAAATGATACTTCAGGAATCCCCATGTTTTTCACCAATTATCAGCAATGAAACAGCTTTTCCACTGTTTCAGGTGCTCAGTACTGTATTAGAATTGTACAGCCAAAGATAACCTCGGACATACCTAACGTGCTCGTATTTAGAGAAGACAAATCTAAAGTTCTGGACG